GTCTTCTCAGTTCCTTCTCAGTGGCTCCGAAGTACTCCTTGGCTGTATCATCGATGATCCCATCGGCCCTTGTACGCTCCTCAATTGTCGTTAACCGATCACGGAATACCCTCATAGCCTCATGAATGAAGAGTCTAATAAGGTCCATACGGGACATGCAGTCATATTCCATCATAGCCTCATACAAGGCAATCTTCCATCTAGTGAGCTCTCGTGGTGAGTAGAAGTAATGAGGCTGCCCACAGCCTGCCACCGTGAATGTCTGTCCTATACTTGTGTATACAGATACCATTGCCTTAGTAAGCATGTCAGCATACTCTTCTAGCTGTGGTTGGAGCCTAAGCATAGCTCTAATAAAGGTGCCGTAGATCTGTACCAAAGAGTCACTTGATGGATAGTCCATGAACAGGACAGGCACATGACGGAGGAATCTATCACTCATAGCATGGCGCCCAGCATCAGTAGAAGGGTTACAGGCACCAACAAAGAGGATACGTTCTACCTCGACCCAAGACCTATCACTTGGTCGGTAGAAGCCTCCGCTCTCGATTATCTGCCTTATAAACATGATGACTCTCTGTGTCCCGTAGGCATCGGGGACTGGTAGGTTGATCTCATCACAGAATACCACAAGCCACTTGTCAGATGCCCCACCACCAGGGGCAGCTTCCCCCGAGGCTGGACGAAGCTTCCATCCAGTAGAAGTTTGGCAACACTCACAGTAGGTCATCAAGGTACGCATAAGTAGTTCAGGAGTGGACTCACTAGAGAAGTTGAGAGAGGCCACCTGTAGGGAATCGCCCAGAGCCCTTAGAGATGAGAGTAACGTCATAGACTTGCCTGAACCAGGAGGACCGCAGAGGATGAAGTGTCGTCTAGAGGCGATCCAAGAATTGATACACTGAGCATGCCGCTCAGTGTCAATGGTAGGTATAACAAGGTCAGCATTAAGGACTTGAGATGCATCTAGATCGATCCGTCCGACCTTATTAGTCCATGATGTCCATTGACCATCCATTACTCGAACCTCATAGTCTAGGAGGCAGGAGTTTATCGGCACAGGTACACCACAAGCTTCAGCCTCGGATGCCACAAATACAGCAAACTGCTCTCTGTGAATTAGAGGGAGAGAAGCACCAAACCCCCAGCATACAGAGAATATCAGGGCCTTATCGAGATACTTCTCTCTTATCGATGCATTACGACAGGAAGAGACAGCACGGTGAACATGGTGACTTAGCAGACTGAACATAGCATTGATACCTCTAGTAGCAGTGAATGGCATTATATGTACACCAGATGGTAGCTCCTTGACATAAGCAAGGGATCTATACACTAGGCCTCCAGGATGGAAGAAGCGGAGGAGAGTATCAACACATCCTTCACTGACCAAATCTGATCCCATCCTCCCAGTTCCCAACGGCGACTGTGTTGCTCGATGGAGGTCTTTCAGCTCTCTCATGCAGATCATCTCGTCGGTAACAGTCTCAGGGCTGAACCACACCATGCCACACCTAGATACGGTAGCCATTGTAGCATGCTTTAGGGAGTCAACCTGAAGAGAAGTTTGATGGTCGGAGCCTGCTGCGTCCCCACCTCGAAGAGTATCCTAACGTTTGAAGGCAGAAGTAGGCGTTCGCCGCTTGGCAAGGTGAGCATCTTGTTATCGTCGAGTACCGAGTTAAGGTTTTCGGCCCAATTAGGATCAACATCACCATCAAAGATGATCCAATGGCGTCTAGGAAAGGTAGTAGGCTTAGAGTGTTCCTGCATTATATGCTCTTCGTGATCATGGGCAGAAGGAGCCACAGCAGCAGAGGCATTGTTGGCGATGATCTTGCGTAGTATATCAGTGAAGATCCCATCGGTCCACTCCCGAGTAGTAGCGTCCAATCGACCATAGAGGTCATCTTTCATCATCGCCTTGGGCTCCAGAACATGCAGTTTGGTCACTATCCGTTCATGCCGTTGTAAGGCATCCAATAGCACTGCAGTAACCGTTGATCTGAGGTATAGACTGGAATCCCTAGAGAAGGGTGATGATGCTAAGCCTACTTGCCACTGCCAACAGGACCGAACAGGATGATGCCGTGATTGAGCTTCTGCAATTGGTATAGTTGCAGACACTTGGCAATGAAGGCTTCCTGAGGATCTAGTCCTCTCTCCTTGCATACATCAACAACGTGCAACTCAAGAGTGGCCTCATCGAAGGCTGCGGCCTGATTAACAATATATTTCCAAAGACTCATCACGTCCTTGTAGTACACCTACCTTAGTCTCGGGGAATACCTCTTCCACCAACTTAGACATCTTTACAACGTCCTCACCCACCAACTTGGGTACCACAGCGTTGGCAATAGCTTTAAGTATGATGGTGTCCTCAGCATCGATGTCTACCTCATCCTCCTCAGAGGGGCAGTCTGGAGCAGTTGGGGCTCGTAGTACCCCAGAGGAGCGCATCAAGTTGCCGGCACTAGCCAACACGCTTTTAAGAGCTCTGAGGCCGAAGTCGTAGTGGGGTTGACTCGACAGCTTGGTAGAGCATCTATCAAAGAGATCGACTACTCTCGATGACAAAGCCTCAGCCTCTTTAAAGCCTTGTGAGAATAGCAATACTTGTGCTATGAGGACCTTATCTGGTACAATCATAGCTACCTGCCTGAACAGCTGCTTGAGGTTATCAGGGAACTTGGACCGTCCTGCATACCCAGGATTGGTAGTAACGAATATACCCACATTAGGAGAGAGGGACACTGCTCTATCGAGGATGTTCACTTCATCCTTCTGATGTCGTAATCCAGACTGGATAGAGAAGATCTGTTGGCTGACTGCCGACAGTATGCGCTCTTCCAAACGGTTGAACTCATCGAAACAGCCCCAAGCGCCAACTTGGCACAAGCCCACGAAGATACGGCCCATGGCAGCAAAGTCGAAGCTCTCATCACAACAGAACACCATTACCAATCGGCCGAGTTGTGCACCGAGGGACTTCACAGTCTCAGTTTTACCAGTACCAGCTGGGCCGAAGGGATTACCTCCTAACCTCATATCCAGAGTTTGTGCTAGTGCCATGTAACAGCGATCAGTGAGAGGAGTCTGGACTAGTTTATCACATACTCCTAGATATTCGAATCCATACTCGAAGACAGCGCTACATATCTCGACACTGAGCCTCATGTCATTGGGATACCACCGATGCTTTAGTATACGAAGCCACTCGAAGTGTTGGGGGCTAGTGCATTTCACAGAGTCCAGATGACGACTCATCTCCCTCTGATGGATGACCTCGCTGATCAACTGCTCATACTTTCGTCGCAGTAGAGGGTCATCACCACCCTGTACGGCACCACCAGCGGCCGAGAGAGCCTCTAGCTTTGCTTTACAGTCCTCGAGAAGAGCTGCAGTACCACCTTGAATACCAAAGGCCTCAGACTGTGCATTATACCATCGAGCTTGACATGCTAGTAGGGCAATCTGAGCAGGGAATTGCCTAGCTAAGTCTAAGATCGATAAACTAGGATCCATAGCCATATTGAGTAGCTCTGGTAAACGGGCATGCATGGCCTTCTCGATGGAGGTCAGAATGTAGTGTATACTACGACGATGTTGTTGCTGCTGACCAGGCACAGCAGTACCATCAACCGAGACGTCTACTGGAACCTTATGAACATCACCAAGTTGAACTATCTCCGACTCTCTACTCCGGAGAGCAGTTATCCATACAGTATTGACATCCTCCTCATCCTGACAAGTCTCTATCCCAGCTATACCAGCGAACATCTTATTCAAATGTTGTGTGATAACAGTTAGGTCTTGTGAGTTACCTATCATCTCAAGAAGATCCTCATCACCAACAAAATAGAATCTTGGGAACTGAGCTCTCTGCATCTCCAAATAATCACCCAAAGCCTTCTGTATCCTGCTCAGAGTTCTACCCAAGCGTTCAAGGGTCTTGAGGATGTAAGTGTCAGTGCTCATAATGTCCAGTATGTTGACCTTAGTATCGAACACCTTCTTCATAATACTTACAAATTCTGCATCAACCGAGCCAAACCTGGCCGACTCTGTAGGTAATAGAGTGCGAATATCTTCGGAATTACAGAAAATACCTTCAAGATAGACGTAACGACGTTGTACATCAACCCAGATATCCAATAACAATCTCAACTTGGTTAACCTATCCTCCCATGATCTAGTATCAGTCTCGAATACTTTATAGTGTGGTGAATGCTTCATAGCTTCTAATGAGCTGATATGCTCATCAAGCTGTGCAAAGAGGTCATCCCATCCCCGCACTAGATGGCATTTACCCCCAGCATAAGGTATGAAATCGAGATTGAGTGTAGTCCAATACTCCTTGACAGAGGATATGAACTCTTCCAAAGCTAGTTCTCCAGCTGCCTCCGACATGAGACCTCGTAACTCCTTCTCTCGCTCCTTGAGACCAGTGCTATCCCAAAGCTGTCCCAATAAGAGGCCATTGACACCATTGTGGATCGTACCAAGTGACAAGATGCCCAGAATCTGCTTCCAGTGGCGATCCTTCAATGCCTCAGACTTGAGATCAGCAATGATTGGATGGAGGGCCAAGGCAGCTTCCACTCGACTGCGTAGATCATCATAAGCATCGTATTGACGTAACGCATCAGGTAGTTGACTGAGCTCTTCGACAAGTTGCTCCAATGAAGTCTTCACTTTCTTTGCAACTACAGCTGGCCATGGAGTATCAGCAATATCAGACAGCTTCTGATGCACTCCTCCAAGGCCTTCCCACACAGCTCTCAGGTTAGATACATCTTCCCGCAGGGGATCTAGGCGACGCTCATTGCTGCAGTCTAAATCCAACACCTTCTTAGCCTTTATGACCTGACATAAGATATCATTGAATATAGAACTTGTAGAGTGGTTGGCATTCATTACCTGTGCCAGGTCAGCTTGCAGCTTCATCAACCTGGTATCGAATAGCGATATATTATGTAATGCTCTGAGAAGGAGAGTATACACTGCAATAGACTACAGAGTTACTATTACTTGGTGGGTGACTCGTTAGGTTGAGTCGTCTGGTCGGCCCTCATAGCCCCCCATTCCTCATAGAGGCTGTTTATCTGTTCCATTACCTTCGTATCATGAGATGCTATCATATGCTCGACTTTATCCTTGCTCTCCTCCAGGAGCTTAATACGTCGGCTGAG